AGGAATCATAGATAATGCTTATTGAAAGTTTTGTATTCTGTTTACTTCAGGAAACATGGAAATGAAATGCACAACCTCTTCATGTTAAGGGTAGCTGAACCCCATTTGGGGGGTGTTCAAAAGATAAGGAGGACAGTGAACTTGTTGGATTTTTAAAAGAATTTGTCCCTCAGAAAGATTTCACATGTATACTTGCATTTCCTTTTGAGGAATATGCATGAAGTGAAAAGCTGATAAAGTCACTAGATAATAAATTTGTGTTCTGTAAATGAAAATGAGCCAGTTCCTTTGCTTTATTTCCCACCATTTTGAACTGCAAATGATTTATATGGTGCCTAAAATAATATAAATATTTTTCTGTGGTATTGGCAATGATAAATTATCCAGAGATAGTCATTACTGACTTTGGCCATGAATCTCTTACTTGGTAACAATGCAAATAACTCAGGAGTCATAGATAATGCTTATTGAAAGTTTTATACTCTGTTTACTTCAGAACACACGGAAATGGAATGCACAACCTCTCCATGTTGAGGGTAGCTGAACCCCATTTTTGGAGAATGCCCACATGAATAGCAAGCACAATCATACCATGCAAAAATAGATCAGCATTAGCACCACTTACCAAAAAGTCAAACACACATTATAAACACAACAAAAAACAAAAACCTGTTTCATTTGTATGTAGTTATAAAGATTATACTTTCATAGTAAATCTTGGCATTATTCTAAGCAGATATTGCATGTGAGATGCAAACAAGTTCTATTTTACTTGTTTCTCCTATTGGGGGTTTATTGTTTATTTATTTAAAAAATTTTCATTAATGTGCATTAATTATAGATCTGTATTGATTTCTTTGGGATCTGCTGCTAGAGAGTTATTATGTTCTTTCAGAAGCATCTTATTACCTTGATTGTGCATATTTCTTATTCTCCTGTGTTGAGATTTGTGCATCAAGTGGATCAGGTATCTCTACAACTTTTGTGGAGTGGCCTGATCCACCATAGGGGCCACCACACCCATTAAAGGACTAGCCACATATCGAATACACACTCTGTTTGGAACACAGAGTGGGTCTTTCCAATTCTGCCACTGTATGCACTGTGTTCAAAGTCATTAATCACAGCCAGAGAAGCTACAGGGGGACAGCACTATGTTACCCAGCTGGAATTAGAGCCAACTGGGCATAACAAATCAACACCCAAGGCACATCCTCGGGAGAATGCCTTCATGAATTGTATTTGGCCACCCCCATTCACATGTACCCAAGGGTAGGGGACAGAGAGCCAAGGGTTATCAAGGTCCTCTCACCATGTCACTGTGGCAAGGCAGGAGTGGAAAATAAAGTTCACCTTCCTCATCTTGTTAGTAACAGGCACTTGAGTGCAGCACAGTGAGGAGGGGCAGCTGGAACCCTGTGGGTACCTGCCTTTGGTCCCAGCACTGGTGTGGGTCCACATGTGCCTGGTCACACCTGTTCTCAGGGGGCAAGGACCTGCTCCTGGTTCTCAATGGGGGCATCCTCTGCTCTCTGTGTTCTACCTACCCCTCATCCCTACAGTGCAGGCACCCTGGGCTTATATCACAGTCACTCTGCTTAGGACAACACCGTGTGTCTGATATATCCAATATGTGATATTGTATTCTTGAGGCAGATACCCCTGAAACCATAATAGCAGAATGTGTGTGGAGTCTCAGAGATGGGGTGTGCAGGGTTTCTGATCCCTAGAACAATTCAAACAACAGTAGGTCCCTTCTCAAGATGGCTCCTGGCTGTAGTAACCTAGGTTTTCTTAGGAGATGATGTGAGATTCTTTCCCAAAGCAAGACAGCTGTGCAGATTTCAGATTACTTATCTAATTAGGCTCTAAGCTTGTAAGGATTGTATAACTTACAAAACACTTTTATTTTTCCTAATAGCCACATTATTTTTTCCCAAAATATTTCCAAAAGCACAGTCTACATTTGTACAGTATGAAATATATGAGTGTGCATGCTACAGGAAGGCACTCAGTATTTCCGCAAAAATAAATAAATAAATAGATAGATAGATAAATAAATAATACAAAGAGCGAATGCAGGTGATACAATGACTCATTGGTCTAATGCTGGTTCCTCTTTTCTCCAAGGGCTTGATCATCTGAGTAATCATCTGTCTTTAGAAATTACTTTTCTTTATTTCTTCAATAAAAAGTGTAACATTTTTCTTGTAGGAAATTTTGTTTGCTTCTTTTTTTCCCCTCCTTGGCATTGTAGGCAATATTAGGTGTATTAGTCAGCATTCTCTAGAGGAACAGAATCAACAGGAAGTAAAATTATAAAAAGGGATTTATCAGTTTGGCTTCTGCAACCAGAAGCTGGATAGTCCACAATGGCTGGAGAGCTAGAAGAACCAGTAGCTGCACAGTCCAAGAGGCGGAAGTCCCAGAATAAGAGGGATCAAAGGTGCTACCCTAGTCCGAGACTGAAGGCTTCTGCAGAATCACTGGCAGAGTCTTCTTTGGAGGGGTGAAGAAGTGCGAGTCCGATATCCTCAGATGATCTAGCAGCAGTCAGGAACCTGTTCAAGAAGAATGGAGCTTGCATCTACTGCTTCTTCCTTGCCAATCATTCCCAGACACACCCTCATTGACACTCCCTTAAGCCTCTTAGTAATTGGCTACTCTTAATCCAATCAAGTTGGCAATTTAAATTATCCATTACATAGAATATAGAGCACAGCTACAAATTTACTGAGCTTGTGTTGATTTTTGGTGACAGGGTATTAGGTATTGTTTTATGTCCTGAATTTCTGTAGATTCACTCATAAATTTCAATTGCATTTTATTTATGAAAAAAATAAAAGAAAAATAATAGAAATGATAGTTTCTATAATTACTTAATCAAAACACTGCTAGGTGAAGAATCCATCCATTAAAATTATAATACAGATATTTTGATGGAAAACACGGTGCTTTGAATAAAGTTTGACAAGAAATATGTGTTGGTGATTGGAGAATACATTCAACTGTGAACCACTGTAATGGATTTGGATTTTTGTTAACAATAAAAACATTTTCAAAAAACCTTCAAATTAAATTGTTTGATCTCATATTTTAGGTTACTCATATTCACAGTGAATTATAATGTTAAGTTGTATGTTTTACTTTTGCCATAATTTAGATAAGTACATAAGAATATGTGGAAACATAGATTTCTCACACATTTTATATATTAAAGAAAGATTAATTGCAATACATAGTATCTTTTCCTTCTCTTGGTTGTGGTTTTGGTCATAGATGACCAAAAGCATCTTTAAAAAAATTTTAATTGTAGATGGATATAGTACTTTTATTTTGTTTAGTTTTTTAATGTGGTGCTGGGCGCTCTACCACTGAGCCACAATCCTAGCCCCTAAAGCATCTTCTGTATAAAACAAATTGACTTCTTTCTCTTAAATACCACATCCTTGGGAAAATTAAGAAACTAGTCCCTCAAATTGTTTCCTGTGGTCGGTGGTTCATATGAGATTGAGATTACATATATTGATCACATTATACACATCCCAGCAGAAGTGTAAATTACATGCACACACATATTTTATTCTATGTGCATTAGAATAATCATTCTCTAAGTAACAACATTTCTGTGGTGGTTGTTTTGGGATCTAAAGGAAAGTGTATTAATTGATTTGGAACAATAAAATGAGAGTATGTACAGAGAGAGTAACTAAATGAGAGATTCTCTTAGGACAACACGTGTGTCTGGTATTAATCATATATTAACTAGCTATGTTGATTTCAGCCTGCTTAAAAATTTCCTGCGCACATGGTGGACTATAAATTTTATTGGATCCTTGACTAAGGAGTATCCATGACAATTGGCATTATCTCTGGCTGGCATCACTTCTAATGCTGTAGATTTATTGTTCTGCCTCCCCAATGGCCAGAAGAACTCTAGGCAGTCTGTCACAAATGGTGAAGAGTGGCTTGGGTAACATCACTGGGAATCACATAGTGGCTTCAGATACTATTTGGGGTACTTAGCAGTGAAGCCTGTGGTGAACAGGTTAGGAACAGATAAGACTGGAGATTTGTGGGCTTCCTGTGGCATTGTATGTAATGACTAAAATGATCACTTGGCCGAAGCACTTCTGTTTTCCTAATCAGTCACACACACACAGAGAAAAAACAAAAAAAAATTCATCATACACTAAAAGTGAGCCCTCCAGCATTTGATTCTAGCCATAGCTGTTAAGAAGCTTTGGGGTTTTTTGATATTAGAAGACCTTCAGAGATAAGTGTACTAAGCCAGTTAGCACACATTTAGACATGCCACCACAATTTAAATTTGAAAGAAATTTTAAGTGTATTTATCCAAAAATATGATTTTCATTTGCCAGAGTACTCTTTTCAAAGCTTTCAAAGGTACAGAAAGGTGATTTTCTGTAACTTGGTTTACTGTTCAAATCCAATTTAGTTCTGCCACCTGTTATTTTTCTCCTTGGATTTTTTTTTAGAAGTCATTTTTAGAGCCTTTGATATTACTATATAAGAGCCTCACATTCTATGGTGTAATTGACTCTGGGTTTGATAGTTCAACAAATACACAATGAGAGTCCATTGTGTGCCAAAAGCTGTAATGTTTATTTTTCCAAGGAAGCTGCTTCAACCTAAGTGTTTGCAGCTCTCCATCTGTTAGTTTAGGAATTTGTCCCTTTGTTACTGTGACAATATTGATAATTTCTCTTTTAGATGATAGGCTTCAGGAGATGGAGAATTTTGCCTTTGGGTTTTTGATGCTCTTCTAGTGATATTTTGGGGATAACTTATTATATTTTTGAATAGATTAATATAGCCTTTCTAAATAGAAAATTAAAATTTCCAAATTTAGCGAACCATGTCACCATGTTAGTAAATATTTTTCTACTATGCAGAGCATTACACTTAAAAGTGGAAAGGTTAAAATGTTTGCAGAATCAGCTTCTCATTGTGGAATTGTTTGTTTGTTTTCTTTTTAGTCTTCTGAACAACAATCAAATCAGAAAGATTTCCAGAACTGCTTTTGAAGGACTTGAAAATTTGCTGCATCTGTAAGTTCTAAGAAAAACGAACAATGGCTTCTTTTGTTGACTGATTATTTTTGCCTTCTTGATTATTTTAACCTAAGCAATTCTTTACCTTCCTGAGAAGTACTGGCAACCTTGAAACAGAACTGTTAAATGAACATTTCTAAGGACAGCAAAGTGTTTCTTTCAATAGATCGTGCATCTGGGGACATTTGAATATTAGTGCACATTTCTATCCTTCCACCCTTGACACGCAATTCTAAATTGGAGAAAAATAAAAACAAAGTTTAATCAATACTTCACACTTATATCTAATTAATCAATAATTATAAAAAATCCACAAATCTGAAAGGAACTTTTATGTTAATAATTCAGTCATCTAAGACCTCTTGAGGCTGGTGAACACATTACAATTAGGAATGTTAATCAACTTGGGTAGGAGACAAATTTTGAAAAAAAAAAACAGCTTATAAATATGACCATTAACAATTATCATGCTTTTGATGTATTATTATTGATAAATGAATAAAAAAAAAACACTTAAAATGATTGCTTAAGTCAGAAACCAATACATGTTGATAAAATGAATGTTGGATGGTGGAGAATGGATAGGCTTATGTGGGAGGCAGAAGAAAGTAAGCACACTGGTTTCAGGTAGGAGTGAGTCCTTCAACTTCCTTTTAAAAAAATGTTGAAGACAACTGGAGGTAAGCTTAGTAGTAGAGCACCTGCTTGGCATGTACCAGGCCCTGGGTTTGATCAGTAGCACTACCAAAAAAAGTATTAAGGAGGTAACTAACATTTTTACACAAAAATGTCTACTTGTAGATCCATTAAGCAATTGGTTTAAAAAGTTATAGTAATTCTTGTAAAAAGAAAATGCCGTCCTACTTTTTCTCTAATTTACATATCTGTTGTACTTTTCTAAAATGGGATTCCCATTATACACCAACCCAAGAGCTTTGTAGCTTTCTTGTTTTGAGATGCCCCAGTCCTAATACACAGGTCTCCCATAACTCTTTCCATTAACCTGCCATAATGTCTTGTTTTGCTGCCTTAAACATGCACAGCCAATCTAACATGATCTGTAGGTGCATGCCACTTTTGATCTCTACCAAGCTTTTAGACCAGTGCTGTAAAAAGTCTGCTCTTTGTTTGTGAAGAATCTTGACTTTCTCCCTGTTTTTCATCTCGATCCTGGCCTGTGGTTCTCTACTTACGGGCATGTCAAAAGTAACTCCCTACAGTGATAAAAGTAGTAGACTAAACAAAACAAAAAAAACCCTATGACTTTGTACATAATGGTTTAGAACAAATTTCGTTATTAGTGCTAATACTAAATGTGGAAATTTAGTTAAATTATAGCTGTTAGTAGGAAGTTAATATTGGATAAAATGCTCATTGTTGCTGATGTTGGATCAATTATAAGCACAAGAGTACCATATGATCTGGATGAAAATAAGAAGAGCATTTCATAAAACTTCTATTCAATGTTATGACAAGCTAAACATTGCTTTTTAAGTGAAAGATAAGTCTTTGGGCTTCTGGAAGGTAAATGACTTATGAAAAGGTGAGGATAATTTATAAATGTGTATGATGTGGGTGATGAACACTTTCCCATGGCCACTGACGTGCATCTTTCCATGTTTTCACTAACATTGCCAAGTGAGCATTGCTTCTCAAACTGGAGAAGTTCCCAGACAGAAGGCTGTAAGCAAGAAGACCCACTCAATGCACATGGTACCTGCAAATTCATCTTCTATCTTTCCTTTGCATTTTAACCTCAATCCCTTATTATTTTATTTCTTCGAACACAATAAGCACACACACACTACCTCTTCAATCTGTGCACAGGATGCTAATTATTTTCTGCTTGGCTATATTACCAGGCATAATGTCACTGTACTCTCAGTGACTTAGGAGAGGGAGGCAGGAGTATTACAAGTTTGAGGCCAGCCTAGGCAACTTAGCAAGACTCTGTTTCAAAATAAAAATTAGAAAGGGCTAGTGATGTAGCTGAGTAATAGAGTATCCCTGGAGTAAATCCCCAGTACCATAAATACATAAATAAATAAATTCAGCATTTTCCCTTAGTTAAATCTCAGTTTTAATATCACGTCCTTTAGGAGTCCCTTTAAGTCAGTTAACATTTTTTTTCCTCTCTCAGGGTGTCTTGTGTATTTCATTTATTACATACATTATACAAGTTCATTTTTCTTACCTATTTGTTACCTTGTTTATTTTTGGATTTCCCCACTGGATTCTGTAAAGACAAATGGCCCTGTGGCCATACTTCTTTCCATTTATTTGCCATTTTATTCCAGCATCTAGAACTAGTGTCTAGAACAGAGCGACTGCTCACAAAAGATTTGTTAAACAGATGTATGAACATAAGGTGCTCAGTAAATGCTTGATATTTGATTGATTAAGCCTCTTGGCTATGATGTGTTAATTAATCTTATGAGAGATGAATGATAACGCTATTATATGCCTTGGATTTTTCAACAACCTGTGTATTTATCCATTATTTATAGTGTGCCATTTCCCAAGGATTTCTAGTGTTATATTACATAAAATAGTTATAATGTTTTCATACTGAGGAGCTCAATTTTCATTAGACTATATATACCAAAGAACTTCAGTTTTACCTTGCCAAACATAAAGGCTAGAATATTTTTTTTTTCTCTAAGACAAAAGCATTGCTAAACTCATGTGAAATTGTAGCGAGTTTTGTCTAAAACATATCACTGATTCCCTTGGGCAAAAACAAATAGAAGTATCCTAGGACAAATTTTGCTTTCAGATTCACACAAGAAAGTACAATTGTTTGAGAATATCCTTGGGAACTGTGGTTCATTTAAGGTTAGCTGAATCTTAAAGCCAAGATATACTGTAGAAGTGGGAGCAAAATATCCCTATTCTTTGATTCAGCAGACCAGTTATCTCTTAATAGCATTGTCAGTATTCATTATTGTGAGTTAATCTAAGGATAGACTCCAAAATAAAACTTCTTGTTAAGAAGCATCTTGTTGTCCCAATAATAAGGATCTTATTATTTATCAGCATTGATAATTGAAGAGGTTTTTAAAAAGAATTATTTGTAGGGGGAAAACCCTGGCGTGTTTCTGCGGGTTTGAGATGAATTGAGCATCATTTATTAGTACTACAAAAAGCGAAATGTATCCCACTTTCAAATCTGTGATTCTGTGTCTGGCTCTGGTCCCCATTTCCTAAATTTGGTTTTGTTCTTTGAGTTACAGTTTCTTCCTTCCAACGCAGCCCCTGGACATCTTTGTCCTCATGAACTCTCACTCCTGAATGCTACACCCTATACACAAGTTCACCTTCTTAAATCATTGTCTTGATGTGTCACTTGCAATTGTGTACTCAGCCTTTTCCATCTTTTGTGATTTGGGTGGGAGGGGGCACTGGAGATTGAACTCAGGGGCACTCGACCACTGAGCCACATCCCTAGCCCTGTTTTTTAGTTTATTTAGATACAGGGTCTCGCTGAGTTGGTTAGGGCCTCGATTTTGCTGAGGCTGACTTTGAATTTGGGATCCTCCTGTCTCAGCCTCTCAAGCTGCTGGAATTACAGGTATGTGATACTACACCTGGTGCTTTTGTGAATGTATTTGAACTCTGTCTCATTTCTTTTGCAACGTATAGATTTAAAAAATATATATATATATTTTGTTTGTTTAAACTACTGAGCAAGAAAATGTCATTGAAGAATCTGATCTTTAATGATGTAACTTTGAGGGACTCAGCTCTCACCATTTTTGGCTATACTCACTGCCTGAGTTTAATGACAGTCTTACAAACCGAGTGAAATTTGCATACGGTTTCTTGTTCATTATGCCAGCATAATGAACCTCTGCAGGATTTAGTGGCTTAAAACAAGGAAGAGTTTTATTTTTTCATGCTTGATTCAGGGTGGTCTGGGCGGTTCTGGTCTGCTATGGTTCAGACCTTGGGTTTAGAATGGCATCACTCACATGCCGCAATTCCACAGTTATCAGCTGGGAGGGCTTTTTCTTCTTTCTCTGGCCAGCTAGATTGTGCTTGTTCACACAGTGATCTGTCTCTAATAAAAGCCAGGGATGAGTGCTTTCCAAGCCTGGCTTTTGCTGTTTTTTAGTGTCCCATTTGGTCAATCATGCCACATGGCCCAAATCTAATTCCAGCACAGGAAGATCTTGATGAGTGAAGCAGCAAAATCATCTCATAAAATGTTATAAATCAGGGCTGGGGAAATTTGTGGCCCAAAGTGCAATTGACCACTTTAACATGAGGAGTAGAGTTTTCTAAGAGTTGAGATTCAGATTGCAATCACAATCAAGCCCACTCTGGCTCTGTCACCAGGATGTACTTTTCTGATGGGTACAGTAGGAGCTCAAAGGGAGAAGAGGCCTGGCCTCTTCTGGGAGACACAAGGGGTGGAGGGCAGGTTAGATTTGATGGAAGGAGCAACACTTTTACTTAATTTTGAAAGGCTGTATGAGAAGAGGTAAGAAATGGTCTTCTATGATTTGGTAATGGGCAGTATCTTCAGTGGCTGGATGGAGCATTGATGAGAGATGAGACTGGTGAGTTTAATATGCGAAATAATAGGGGTGAATGGTTTCAATGCCTGGCTGCCTGCCTTCCTGTTTATAACTCTTTCTTTCTTCTAATCATGCCAAATTAGCTTCTATTCTTACTGCTCCAATAAAAGTGCTTCAACAACGGCCACTCATGTTATTAGACATATTGAACATTTAACATTTAACCCTGCCCCATGGTGTCTCTTGTTGGCCATACCCCCTCTTGATCCCTATGGTGCTCTTGATTTTCCTTTTCCTGGTAAGGCTGCTCAAATTCCTTTATCCCGGGCTCTCTCCTGTACTTTGCCTCTCTATTGGTGAGTGTATCTGCTTCCATGGTATCAGTCATTATCCAAATGTTGCTACCTCTTAAATCTTTATTTCCGGCCCAGATTGTTTTTATATTTCCACACATACACCTATTTCTTTACTCAGTAT